AAATGGCAGAGCCAAGTCCAACACCCAGCTCTTCTTAAAAATTTCTGGGTTGGAACAGGCTCTTCAGTTCCTGCGGGCACAGAAATACAGATCCCCTGGAGAATGTGGCTGCGTCCGCTCCGGGCAATCGCGGGAAGACCGACGCTCACTGACTTGCCCCGACCAAAACCGGGGCCTCTGGCAACCGCAAAGATGGTGACCGCAAAGCCGCTCCAGGCTGGGCCCTGGTCAGGGCCCTCTATGGGTGCAGAGGTCAACACCTGGGAAGAGGGGCGGGGCCAAGTCCACCCGGGGCTTCCAGCCTAGGGCGGTTCACTGGCCCACCCTCCTCATCCCTCTGGAATTCACTGGAAGGACTGGAATCTGGCTCCAGCTACATACACCCTCTCCCACCACAGCAACTCACACTCCGAGAGTTGACAGGTCCTTGCTTTTAACCCCAGGGACAGGGGACCCACTGCCTCACGGGAAGTGGAGAAACATGGAGAGCCTACTCCACGCCAAGGGCTGTTCTAGGAACTTTCACATAATTGACTCTTTTTGTCTCTCTTACCCCCACCCCCCGACAGCTCAGGGAGGCAAGCACAGGATATTGGCCTTTTTTTTTCTTTTGCAAAAAATTCAGAGAGGTTATGTAATGGCCCAGGCCCACACAGCTAGGAAGCGGTAGTAAGTAGGGTAACCTACATCCCGGTTTGCCCTGAAATGTCCCAGTTTACATCTGCTGCCCTGGTGTAATCGTTAAGGCAGGGCCTTTTCATTCTCGGAAGGCCTCAGTTTGGACAATATAAGGAATCCAAGCCAACCTCCTCTCCCACCCCCATTTTCCCATCCAGAGCCCCAGGGGCCCTCCGCTGGGGCAAGCTTCAGAATTCTCCCGCCCAGCTGAGCTGCGGTTTTTCCCCAGAAGAGGAAGCGGGGGCTGTGGTCCAGGTCCCCTTGCTCTTAAGAAACTGCTGCTTCTCCCACAGCTGGGAGCTGCTCAGAGGCCTGCCCTGTCCTTGGGAGGCTCCCTGAGTCCCAGCACGGACTCTCCAGCTCTAAGCAGCAGCCATGGGGTTCACCGAGCCCCAGGCTCCTGGGGGCCCTCCATGGCGGCCAGGGTGGAACCCACTAGATGCTCCTCCGTGCAGCAGCCACGGGCTCTGGGTGGCCTCACAGGGTTCGGAGAGGCCGGCTAGTGGGATGTCCTCGGAGACCCACTGGCTGAGCCGGCCCCACTAGGGGCTCCAGGCCCTGGGCTCAGCCCTTGGTTGCTGCGAGGCAAGGATTCCATTTCTGCATCTGGGCAGGGCAGCACCACAGTCGCTAGGATAAAGTTAGCCTTTAGAAAGCCCTCATTTTCCTGCTCTTCCCAGCCCACAACAGCTGTCCTCTGCGAGACCCGTGCTCTCTGTTGGCAGGAGAGGAAGGAGGGAGGGGACAAACTCCTGGTCACTGCAGAGAGGACGGTGGAAGAAGGTAGAACCCCCAGGAGAGGAGGCGTCCCCCGCCCCAGGCAGGGATGAGGGCCAGAGGCTGGGTCCCGTGGCCTGCAGGTGTGGCAGATGGGGTGTTGGCATCATCACAGCTTGGTCCTACCTCCCACAGAAGATTCAATGACCTGATGGCCCCTAGGTCTGTCCCTGTGGGTCCCCACACAGGCTGCAGGCATCCCTCAGCCTGTCCTGGGCCCCCGTACTCGGTCTCTGCCAGAAGCCTCGAGGCCCCTCGATGGTCAGACCCTGGTGGGGACACTTTGTGGGACAGAGAACAGCCAGGACCCTCAGTGGTGACCTTCACTGCAGTCAGAAAGGGGCTGAAGAGCTTCCGTTAACAGACTTTGAAATCCCCACCTGCCCTTGCTGGTCTGACTCAGTGAATAGAGCGTCGGCCTGCGGACTGAAGGGTCCCAGGTTCAATTCCAGTCGGGGGCACATGCCCAAGTTCCAGGCTCGATCCCCAGTGTGGGGCGTGCAGGAGGCATCCGATCGATGATTCTCTCTCCTCATTGATGTTTCTGCCTCTCCCTCTCTGAAACCAATTTTTAAAAAAACTTTTTTTTTTTTAAAGAAATCTCAACCTGGAAGGAAGCCCTTCTGAGAAACAGACCTATGGCTGGAGCCTCGCGCGCACCCAGCACCCCCAGGCCTTCTCAGCGAGCGGCTGTGAGCCCTTCGTGACCCGGGAGGCAGTAACCCCGTAACCTCAAGACAGAAGCGTGAGTGTCTGCGGCGGCCGTGGTTTAACAGTTCGTGCCAGAGACAGGCCGCCCACGTGAGCCCCACTGCGACTCGCCGCCTGCATGACTGCACGCGCGCTGTGAGCAGACACCACGCGCCCTCTGTCCCCAACGTTCCCAGCACCCAGCGACCCTGCTCCTTCCGAACTAGCTGAGTGATCTTTGCGAGCTCGGGCCTCTGAGCCTCAGTGTCTCATCCGTACAGTGAACATCATGCCAGGTCCCTGCCTCCCAAAGCGGTTGTGGGCACTCTTTTGGTCCATCAACAGTTGGCGGCCAGGACACGGAGACCCAGGCAGAGCCCTGGTCCTCGGTGAGGTCACAGTCAGCAAGGGCAACTGCCAGTGCTCTAACCCCCCGGGAGAAGAACAGAAGCGGTATCGGGGAGTTGGGGTGCAGTGGGAGCCCCCAGTTGAGATCCATTCCAGTCTGGGAGTCACAGGAAGTGAATTTGGAGCCTTGAAGAGTGCGGACTGACGAGTTGAGAACAAGAGGAGATTTTAGTCAAAAGGGACGTGCAGAGGTAAAGGGCTGGAGGTAGGAGGGAGCAGGGCCCATGAGGGGACCGCCTAGAGCAGTGGTCGGCAAACTCATTAGTCAACAGAGCCAAATACCAACAGTACAATGATTGAAATTTCTTTTGAGAGCCACATTTTTTAAACTTAAACTGTACAGGTAAGTACATTGTTATTCACTTAATTAGGGTACTCCTAAGGCTTAGGAAGAGCCACACTCAAGGGGCCAAAGAGCCGCATGTGGCTCGGGAGCCGCAGTTTGCCGACCACTGGCCTAGGGCTTAGTACAGGCCGGAGGGGGCAGATGAGCCTGTGAAATTGCTCCCAGCTGAGGAATGTGGACTGGTCCCCAGGGGAGGCCCCAAAACAGGAGAGAGAAGGTCTGATTCGAGCAATTAGAAAAATTGCTCTGACCCAGGGTCACAAAGGGATTGAAGAGGGTGGGGCTGGACGCCTGCAAGCGGGCAGCAGGCTCTCATTTGTCCAGCCAGAGTCCTAGCAGCCTTCAGGGTAACAGGTGACAGGAATGGACAGAGCCCACTGGCCCGGGAGGGGGTGTGGGGGAGAGTGGGGCTGTCTCATACTTTGAAGACACCCCAAGAGATGATGTTCCTCATCAGTGAGACCAGCAGTCCCTGTCCCTCCCAGTCAGGAGAACGCTCTGTTGCCTAAGTGGGGGGCCCTGCTCCAGGTCCTATCTCAGCCCCCTGGACAGAGGATCTCCTACAATGTATGGAGTGCGCATGTACGCACTCTCCCTCCACGCTTGGCAAGTAATTTCTCAACTGCACACTTCCCCCACACACACACCCCAAAGCTAACTCTGTAACAATTTATTTTTTACTTAAGAGCATGTGATGGCTGTGCTTCTATTGACCCGGGAAGTCCCCCACAGCATGTTGTTAGCAGGACATGCCACTGTCCACGGCTGCCACGCAGCCCAGCCGGGACCCCGGTCCGCACGTGGGCTGCAGGGAGGGCCGTGCACACACAGGGCGCTCAGCAGTTATGTCTCGTAAAAGACA